CGACAGTGCTACCAACTGCGCCACCCTGTAGCCCTTTACTCATCATAGTATAAAATATAATTTTACTGCCACTGTTACTTTTTAAAGTAATTCGATGGGAAATCTTAGAGCACGGTCCTTCGCCAAACCCAATGTTTTATCTCACAGTTTTAAAGAAAGTGATTACTGTGCAGTTTATGCTTTTTATGTGTCTGTTTTTTTGCTTTTTTTAAATGCTACAAACCAATTTTGAGCAGTAAAATGCAAGTTGGCATCAAGCAGAATAAGAAAATCAAATAGATAGAACTATAATGAGGCAGACACCAAAAAGTCCAGTTTCAAATCAGTTAATTTTAATTAATATAGCACCAATTCCCAACTCACATAGTAAGGTGAAGAACTTGCTAAATTTATACAGAGAAACCCAACAATTTCAAAGTTTCCTTGAGATTACCTTTGAGCAAGCACTTGGTAACAGTGGGCAGAAAAAAAAAATCAGTGTTAACAGGAAGGAAACTTTTAAAAAATCCTCCGGCAGAACCAGACCATAGACTGTATAAAAGATGGACGTAGCTACCGTGACGTCACCCGTTGGTTTCTGCACTGAGAAAATGAAGCCAGAGTTTTGCTACTTCCTGGTTGACATCTTGGATTTTTGGAGCCAGTGATGCAAAAATCGTCGGAGGGGGACGGAGCCATAGGAGCAGCGATTGGTCAGACGGATTGAGAGGCAGGTCCTCTCTGCCCGCCCACATTTACCGCCTTCTGCTCGCTTCATCTGTATGGCTACTGCCGACTGTCAATCAAGCCAGCCACGTCCCTTGCCCCGCAAAATGTTGATGATTTTTTAAAAATTCAGTATTGATTTGTTTTCAGATTGGCCACCTGATCTCTGGACTTGACTATGAAAACTAATTTTTAAAAAATCCTGAGCTGGAGGAATGCAGTTTTTCATGATCTGTGATCACTTCTTTTCCAATTCATGTCTATGGGAGCCAGGGCTTTTTGGAGCCAGCAGCTAGCTGATATTGCAGGTTTTTGACACTTCCGGGTTGGCTTCATTTTTCGGGGCCGGTTGCTACATCCATCTTTTATACAGTCTATGATCCAGGCTCAGGAAAGGTGGCCATCTGCCTCAGCAGGTTGGGGTAAAGGCAGATGGAGAACAGGTAAACGATGCTTAAGAATACAATAATAACTTTCGAGGTCAATGAGGTCAGAGTTCAGAAACTTGTTGCTTCAGATCCAGAAATACCTGCAGAGAGGACAAAACACAAACTACAAAAGAAAAGACAGAAAGGTCAGTGATGCATGTCGTGAATATTGAACAGATTTTGCCATGAAGAAGGACAAAGATGTTGCTCTGTTGCTAAGGCAGAAGTGGGGACTTCTATGAACATATTAACCATAAAACATGCAGGGTGACATCAAAACCATATGTGTCTTTTCGTAGTTTGAACCTAGTGGACAAAATTAGAACAAATCTACACCAATGTAGTCAAGTAACCAACAGATTCGTATGTCTCTGTTGACATTAAAAGCAAGAACTGAGTGCAACAGTAGTCAAATTTTGCACATTGTTGAACTGGCATACTTCAAATAATAGCGTCCATGACGTCCAGCACTTTTCTGCTCCAGTGATGCTTCCTCAGTCCAAGTCTGTAATTACAGTTGAGGAGAAAACCGTCGGACACCAGTTTCAAGTGTTCTTCGATCAGCTCTTTAGTATGGCATGACGGAATGTAAGAAACATAAAATAACACGGAGGCATGGGGCATCTATAACAAGAGCTGCTGTTAAAAATAAACTGCCAATATGTTTGGACTGCGGGGAGAATTCCAGAGTACATTCCCCATATGTGGGGGCGGCGGAGGAGGTCAAATAGGAAGAACTATTTGTGTCCCGTCCAGAAAGAGAACTACAACCTCGAACTGAGCAGGAGAGCTGTGGTTCATTGCACTTTCATTCCATCATGTATTTCTGAGTTTGACTGGGAAAGAAAAGGGGAGAGAAAACCCTTAACTCTTTGCTATCTGTCAGTGTGTTTAATTGCCAGGTGATGATGGCGGGGAGGCTTTCGATGTACGCTAGAGAACAGGGGGCCTTTCTTTGGCAATGCTAAGGCTTAGGAATGTCTCTAGACACACATTAAGCCCACATACATGTTGGAAACCATAGAAGAGACCTCTCGCTCCTTAGGCTTGTAGTCAAACACTGTACCATTTGCACAGCAGAGGCGGGAGATTTAGAGCTGTAAACCATTACACCTAAATCAAAGTGCAAATTACACCAATACTCTTGGCGTTTTATGTTTACGATCACCTCCTCGTCAGGAATCTGTGGAGTGAATCTGCTCTCTGCTCACAGCACAAGACAGGAGGTGTTTTCATGCTTCAACTTTGCAGCCACTAAAAGCATCACAGTGAAGCCAGTTATCTTTATAGATTTGAGGTGAACGGCTCTTTCTTTCATGTCGATCCAGTTAGCCTCAAGTTTCTGTTTTGTCTGTTTTGTCACTCAAACGGAGGCACATTTTGATAGCAAAGAGGCGAGAAGTCAGCGTCTTTAGAGAGTACAACCGTCCTTGAGATTCATTTAGCGATCAGACACGGGGGTGACTACTGTCAAGATTAAAGCTCAAACACCGCTGGCGATTCAAGCAGAGTTTACATTCCTCGGAAAAGCCAAAGGTTGTGCAGGAAGTGCAGTAGTGGAAGGGTTGGGTCAAAGGAGTGTGATAGTGTTTACAGTATGTGTGTCTGTAAGTTTGCTCTGGCTCTGGAAAGGTGTTGCCTGAATCAACAAAATGAAATGAAACTGATACTCGAGGGACGGAGCCACGGTTAACTCTTCAGATCCCGCCCTGTAGCGGAGCACAAAGGTGACAGCGAATAGAGGGAAGAAAGAAAGCGGCTGATGAAAAGTTAATGGGTTTGGAGGGCTTGAGTCGTATAGGATGGGTGTGGGGCTTTCAAGGCTGTTTGTTCAGCTCCTCCTTTGGGTGAGGTGTTGAGCAATGGACCGCACCGGTCTTTAAAGTAGCATGATAAAGATACAGGTTTCCTTTACAATCCATATTTCTTCACTAAACCCTTTAAATCAGTGTTGTAGCTGTCACAGTTTAACCAGAGATTTCAGAGGCGTGTGTGTGTGTGTGTTACATAAACTGATTTCCACTATTTGCTTTGAGATTACCGTCACGTGCTACCAGCAGCAGTGTTTGTGCTCTGCTGGACCGCGGCTTGTCACTAAGGCAGAGTTAAGAAGAAAAAAAACAACTTGTGGATGGGTTGCACCATGTCCCTGCTGTGCCTAAAAGAGTTATATTATAAAGTTAAGGCTCTAAGTTTCAGAAATAGAGAGAAAATGCTGGATGTTGTCACAGAACATTTGATGTAATTTATTAGCAGTCATGGAAATGTTTCTCTTTAACTGTTGAGGTCACTTCTTTTTTGTAAAACATTAAGAAATCCAGGTGTGAAACTTGTGCAGTTTCAGTGACTAACCAGGGCTTTTATAATGGAACTTTCCAGGGCAAACACACAAGTTTCTACCAAAAATGAATTAATTAATCAAATGGAATTGGAAGCAAAGCAAAGCATTAGTACACATTAAGTTGTGTATCATTAATTTCCATTGCAGATGGTTCTTCAGCAATTTGAAAACATTTTAAGCAGCTTTTTGTTGATGCTGTTAAATCCATCACAGGTTCAGTAACTTTTACAAATAGATGAATGTTCGATTCATTCAAGTCTGAGTTCACACAATGCTAATTAAGTCTAGCACAACAGATAGATCTCTCTGTATTTTGCACAGGTGGAGGTGCGTTTAATGTCAACTAACAAGCTGAAGCTGATTACTCAGAACAACCAGTCAGTTTTCATTATTTAAATGGAATTTCAAGGTGTTGTGGACGCAGATTTTTGCAGGTTTTGAAGAATTAAGTTCAGAAATTGCGAAACGAGACGTCTTTCTTTGTGTCTCCGTCTTTGTTTCTCTGTCCAGAAGTTGACGTCTGTTAGAATGAACTCCTGCAACCATCTATTCAGCTGTAAAACATACACTGAAGATCTCACATCATGGAAAACAAACTAAAGTCCAGCAAATATTGTTCCTTAAAAAACGACGATCATTCAGTCGCTGCAGTTTTAAACTGGTTGGTTGGATGGTTGGTGGTTGAAGCAATGAACGGTGACGGACACGGAGTGGGCGTCAGCATTGAGAAGTAGGGAGGAAAAGCCTAGGAAATGTCAAAGGAAAGGTTCTAATGTTTCGGATTAAAACAAAACCCAGATTACAGTCTAAAAGCAGGTCTACAGCGAGGCATACGTCACATGTTGACAGTGTTTGCGTTGTTACATCCATTGCCAGAAGAGGGAGACAAAAGTTCTGCATTGCAGCTTTAAGATACACCTTTATTCATAATCAGTTTTTGACATCAGCGATTATAAGTTAAGTCATGTTAACATTTAAATTACCTACACAATCCGCTAAACCACTCACAACTCATGTGCGAACTACAATATTATCTCGACAGTCAGCTATTTTAGCCATGCATCTCCATTTTATGTTTCTACATCAACACTGGTAGTGCACAAGATTATTCTTTTTACTGATGGATGATTCATGTGTAGTTACTTATCCACATTAATAAAGATACCAGCATCTTGCAGTCACCATTAAAGCATGATGAAGCATGACAGCACTCACCTTACCTCAAAGCCAACTGTCATAAAGCAATACAGAAAACAAACCAGTGCCGAAACCAGTGAGTTGTGGCGACTTTTTATTTGTTGATTAATACAAATAAGGATAAATAATACCTAAATTAAGTGCTTTATAAATGTTACATCTGTCATATCCATCACACTGTGGACAAGTGTTGCAAATTAGCACATGTGCTAAATCACAAACAATGCATCTGGTTTGTCCGATGTAACTGTGATGTCCACATCAAATTAACAATAAAATAAAAATAAACCCATTAAAACATGAACTACACTGACCCTCCGAGGTTTGGTTTAGGTGTAGCCCACCAGACGGGGAATGCTGGGAAAGCTCTTGCGCATGCTCATACACTTCTCCTGGTCTAAGAAGAGTGAGTTGGCCTTGACGGACAGGTCATGTTCCAGCGTCACTTTGGTCTTCACCAGAGTCTGCAGAGTGCTCTCAGCTTCCATCAGCCTCTCTTGAAGTTTGTGAATGGTGTCCTCGATCTCTCTCACCTCGCTCACAAGTCTGAACAAAGAGACGCAGGATACTGTTGACTTCATTGTCTCTGCTGCAAATATAAGGTAACATGCAACTGTGCAACACTTGGAATTACGGACTGTGTTTTGTTTTATATTGTTATAGTTTAAAACAGAGGCAAAAATGCCTAAAAGTGTATGAAAAAATGACAAAATTATACTCCGTATGTCACAATAACTTATCACAAACACCCAAAAACAGCTTGTTGCGTTTGGTTCACTAAAACCTTTGCATGCAAACTTCAGTGCAAATAATTACATTGTTAAGTTGGGGTAAATTTGTTACAGTTGGAACCATAATGCATTGCTGCTTTTTAAGGTTTGTCACATAATGATGCCAAAGAAAGGGCTTTTCACATTCTATGCAGTTTTAATTTGGCAAATAAAAATCACTTTTTACTGTTTGTTATCACAGTTCCATCCATCCATCCATCCATCCATCCATTATCTATACACCACTTAATCCTCACTAGGGGTCACGGGGGGGCTGGTGCCTATCCCAGCTGACTTAAGGCGAAGGCAGGAGACACCCTGGACAGGTCGCCAGTCTATCACTTTAAGACAGACAACCAAGCACACTCACATTCACACCTACGGACAATTTAGAATCACCAATTAACCTCAACATGTTTTTGGACTGTATGGGAGGAAGCCGGAGAACCCGGAGAGAACACGCAGAAAGATCCTGGTGCCCCCACCAGGACGCAAACCGGCAACCTTCTTGCTGTGAGGCAACAGTGCTAACCAACCGCGCCACCTTGCAGCCCATTATCACAATTTATTATAAATATTTTATTATCAAATTTTCACAGGTAGTTTGTAGTTTAGCAGTGAGGAGCCACTTGCCAAAGAAGCACCAGCTGCATTATCATTAAGTTGGCTATCATCAGTCATAGCCAGTGTCAAGTGTGTCTCTGAGCAAGTCAGGTAATTTTTTTTGTTGAACATGAGATTTAGTTTACACACAGTAGGTGAGAAATTCTGGTCTTCTCTTTAACAAGATAGTCAATTGGTGGCACCAATAATGTCACTCAAGTTGTACCATCTCAACACAAATGGCCAATTACACAAAAAGCATGTTATTCTACATTTGAAATGCATTTAAAAAATACTTCCCCCACTAATATTTTCAGTGTCACTACTGTTGCAGACACACTAGTTTTTCATATCAACTCAAACATAAATTAGGCAAATGTGGTATATCGTAGGAAAAATATGTACAAAAACCATCTATTTATAGTGCATCTGTGCAGGAACATCTCATCTATAAATGTGTAAATTTCAGATTGATGAAGCAATACTAGCTTCACAGCTACCTGTGGTGCGGGTTGTCCCTGCAGAGCTCTATGTTAGGCCTGCGAGTTCTCTCTTCCAGCCTGGTTTGGGCCACTTTCAGCGGCGACTCTTTGTCTCTGAGGGCTTTCTTCAGAGACTCAATCAGCATCTCGGTCTGGAAGATCTCCTGCAAAGTCTGGGTGAAAAACAAAACAAAACAAAAATTTTTTTAACAACTATTTTTAGATCACGATATAGTAGCTGAGTGCCCCATTTGTGTAACTAGCATGAGATAAAGTACAGCAAAGTGTGCCTATTAAGAGAAAAGTGGAGGAAAAGTGACAATCTTATTAGAAGAGGCAAAGGATTCGTAAAAAGCTGCACACTGCAGACTAGAAATCAACTGAAAACTGTGCTGCTCAGTAGCTGCTCTGTCCAAACTCATTCAATGTAATTTAATTCCGTTGAATCACTTCTCCCGATAGCTGACAGTGACTGAGGTTGATTGAGAACGATGTGCTTCATATCACAGATTCTGTAAGTGTTCAGATTCAAGATATGGGATCAGAGTTTAGCTCTTTTGCAATTAACCTGAAAACAAAGGGGTCCAGTGTAGAATATCGCAACAAACAATTTATTTCCATTCCTCTCTTTTGGCAGGGAGGCTTTATTGTAAGCATGAACATAATCCACTACATCGGGTAAATGTTCCCTCACAGGCCCTGCAGTGGACAATAAAGATCTTGTCTTCTGCATTCTGTACACATTTTGTGCTGTTTGTTGTGTGGGAAGAAAAGGAAAGAGAATAGTTCAAACACATGATCTCGCTCTAATAGGGGACAAATTTAGTTAACTGCTGCATGAAGCAATGAATGGATTTTTTCCCCCCTTATGATAGAGACATGTGACCGCCTCTTTCACTTTTTTTCACAATACAGGCTCTTGTACTTTATATTTTGCTTTTTAAAATGAGTAAGAAAGTAATTTTATAAACACCACATCTCAAGATACAACAATAAGTTATGTTCTTGTTGACTGGAGCGTCTTTTCTGAGATGAGACCATGTAGACCAGGTGATGACCTTCGCCAGGTGTGTCTGCAGGCTGTTCTTGGCGTCAGCGGTTTCCGATATGCGGTTGGTGAAGGCTACGTTGACGTTGTTGAACTGGTTCCACATTTCGTTGGACGTGGTGTTCAGCAAGATTTCTATCTCGTCCCGGAGCTTGTGGGAGGCGGCTCGCTCGCTCTGGGAGTGCAAGATGTTGTCATCGGTGAACTTGGACCAGGAGTCAGGCAGAGAGAGTCTGACAGAAGAGAAGAAAAAAGAATGGCGTACATTTGTGGTTCGGACTTCTACGGAGATCTGTTTTAGCCATTCCGTCCGGTCTGTGTAAAAACAGCTATTGGATGGATTGGCATGGAATTTGCTAAAGACAGTCACGGTTCCCAGAGGATGGACATTGGTGTTCCTCTGACATATTTTTTTTTCTATCATCTTATAAACAGTGTGGGTTTCCTTCTTAGGACAAACTGTCACTGTAATTACTTTGTGATCCCTTGAATTTTTACCTGGTGTGATCATTATATTTAAACTAATGAAATTCACATCAGCCTGACGTGTACTTTAGTGGTAGTTAGCAAACTCTATAATGTTGACATGCTAATATAAGATGGTGAGCATGGTAAACTGCATGTCAGGTTAACATCAGCACATGCTAATGTTATTGTACGCAAGCTATAATACTGATGTTGGCGTTTAGAACAAACAACTATTATATCTTAGTATATAGCTTCACAAAGGCACCAGTATGACTGTGGACACTTACAGTAATCTCCTTTCCGACATGGGCTACGTAACATTGCTGCCTTCAATAGTCTCACCTTAAATCTGAATACATTAATTATCGGCAAGCCTTGTTTATCCGACCTGCTGATGTCTGTAAATTTTCATTTTAATGGACATTTAAGTTTATAATAGTTGTGAAATTGGAGTGCAAAGTGAACAATGACTGCTTTGCTTTGTGGTTTTGGCACTCAAATTATGTCTTTTTGCTGTATTATCGGTCCATGTTTTTCGTCCAATATTGGTGCTGAAATGTGGGGGAAAAAATTCCCCAAATAACTTCCCACAGCTCAAAGTTTGTCACTTGTGCATGCATATAATGTTCCTGCATGCAATTCGAACTTGTGCTGTGTGAAAGTGATACAGAAGTATGGCGAGGTTCGGTCTAGCAAGGTTGCCATCACGACTTTTATGGAAAAGTGATCAGGCATGAAGGTGACACATTCAGATGCTGTCAGATTGATGGAGAGGAGAGCATGTCTGAAATGGGCCAAACAGTATCAGTTGTACGAGAAACCCCGGTCCAGTAGTCCAAGCTGGTTTAGCAAAGCAAAAGATACTGTTTGCAACTATTTGATTTAATAAGTTTAATGATTAATATTGTATCATATATCTCTACTCACGATGGGTCTAGTCTGTCAATTCCTCTGTAATAGCCGATACCGTCTGATGTGTTCCTCAAATGGTGACACCTGTCATCTATCCTCTGAGCTGCCACTTTGTCGCTCATGTCTCTTTCCAGCTCGTGTTGGGCAGCTCGGTTTGACCTGAGGAAGCCCACAAACAAAACAGTATAGAAACAAAAATACTAAATGTGAAAACAGACATTTTAAAGAGCGTTGCATTTACTTTAAAACTTTAAAACTTACGCCAGCTGAGCAATAGCTCTGTCCAGATGTCGCCTCATCCTTTCCTGGCATGACTTTATAACTCCTACTTCCTTGTGAAATAGGTAGGAAAGATATGAGAACGCTGCAGAGGTACCACATATACATATAAGCTCTGCTTTTATTTTACCTTTATAAGGTCTTTCTCTACGTCATCATGGACCAGATCGATGGACATCCGCTTCTCTCTGTGGTACAAACACTCTTGAGACACCTATTAACAAAATGATCATGACTAAAGCAAGTTGAGATGGCTGTCGTGTTGTTTGCTTTCAAGTCATTCAACATTTTCTTCATTTGTTTTTGTGACACTTGAAAAGGCAAGGAACTAATTTGAGCGGCAGGTATAAGCACACACATAAAGTCTGTCCCTGCATGCATATATGTGTAAAGTATATGTGCAGGTATACATATCAGGTGTATACTCCAGTTACCCACAGGAGTCTGTAAGAAAGCCTCCTGCCACATATTAGAATAGAAAGGTGTCCGTGTCATCAGATCTCCAAGCTGACTCACTCTAGGCGACACAAACGCACCACTGGCCCTTTAACGGGACACTAAGGTGACCTAATTAAGAGTTTGACCCAACAAAGGCACCGCTGCATTATACAGTGCTGGGACAGCAACAGTATCTGTCTGGTCCAACAGATACTGTTGCTACAACCAAACAGGGAACCCTAGTCAAAACTGTTTCTGCACAGCTACTGTGACATGATATGCATGAACGATGATATAAGAGCACTCAACGGTGGTAAGATTGCAAGCAAAATGGAGTTTGTCCTTGTAGAAATGTAACTATTTCCTTGCAAATGTTCCAATAACGCAAATCCAAATTGACATATTGCACATTTGAGAAAGGTTCAAGGTAACATGCACACTGATTAGGGTATATTCCTTCCAGGCTTACCTGAAAAGGCCCTTCAGTCTCTGCCAAGGCTCTCTCCAGCCTCCTCTTGACCTCAGTGAGTGCTGCTATCTCCGTCACCATGTTGTCAATCTCATGGCTCAGCTCAGACCTCCAGAAGACAATGTCATTGACCCTTTCGCCGAAGTTCTTGCTGGTAATCTCCTGGGTTCGTCTGGTCAGCTGCTCTTTGTCCTGCATCAGCCTGATGGTGTCTTTTCTCAGCCTTTCTGCGCTTTTCCGCGAGGACTCGGACTCCCTGTAGTTGTTGTGGTTGGACTTGTACCACTCGTCTGGGGTGTAGCGGGTGGTCAGCGCGCTCCTGTTGGACTGGTAGAACATGGTATTGGCCCGAACCAAGTCTAAATTCTCCCGTTGCATGGAGGAGGCGGTTGGGACGGTGCTGCTGCTTTTGTAGTAGCTGTTGGTTCTCCACAGATTGGCACTGGGATTCATGGCCAGGGCTGGCTGGGTGTTGCGATAGCTGGACGCCATGGTGGAGATGGCAGGGAGGAAGTGGCTGGTTTTTGGCCGAGCGTATGTGGCTGTCAAGGTGGATCCCATCAGCTCCATTTTTTCCGCGCCCCCTCAGGCTGCCGTTGGTTTTCTGAGTCCAGTTTTTGAAAAAATAGACTTTTCACAACTGTCTGAATATTTACATATCACATCTTGTACAGTTTATACAGATTAGATGTCATTGGCTGAATGTAAGTTTCTCATCTCATCACAACTTGTAATTTGATCCGTTTTATGTAGAAATACTGATTAATGCAGCTTTAATTAGCGTTACTTTGTGTTGTTGCCTTGAGTATTTTTTCTGTACTTTCTTCAGTTCTGCTCTGTTAAAAGTGAACAAAGTGTAGCTTTTCATAAAAAGTTACAGTTTCTAGTACATTCACATATGTTTGAGTAACTCTTCTATACATACTACTTTTATGCCTTTTTATACATTTAATGCAGCTGTCTTATCTAACTTTTACCAACCCAGGATATTTACAGCCAGTTCCCTAGACATTGAATAAGCCGAGTTCTAGATTTAAATGGAAAAAATCAATGGAGATCCCCAATAATTCCATTTTTTTGATTCCCGGACTAAACTTGAGTTACAGATAAATAGATTACATTGAATGCAGTGTAAAAACTCCAAACTCATAAGTTGATGAAGCATATTAAAAAAAATTTAAAAATTTTAATATGCAGCTTTTTTAGAACCAACAAGTACAAGAATCACAATTACAGTGATGAAAAAAAAGCATCAAAATAGACAAAAAAAATATGTCTTACCAAAATAAGAGCTTGTCCTTCGGTACACAGTGTCTTGTGACTGGCCTCCTCTCAGCTGTGTTTACCTGAGAATGAGCTCAAGAACACAGTGACATGCATAAAACATAGACAAGTTTGCAAGTCATTCATTCAGCCAGCCAATGGCGGCGGTGCACAGTCCTGGGCTGCAGGAGCTGGCCTTGTCCAAGATTTCTGTTGACGCAGAAGCAGTTGCCATAGGTTACTGCAACGCTCTGCCTGGGGTTTTCAGATTAATGATGACTAGGTGCTTTTCTTCTTCATACTACATTGCTACTGCAAAATGTCACTACTGTGTAGATAAGATTTTGTGTTTGTAATTTTTCCTTACTTATTATTACATTTCTTGATTTATATTAATTGGCCTGGTGCGACTCTGAACAGACCAGCTCTGCTTTTTCCCTCAAATGGATATGTCTTATTAAGCAGCCATTTGTAGCAGAAGAGTAAAATGCAGTGAGGATTTCTTGGCAGCGTAATGCTCCATAGATCCTGTGAATGTGTATATCTGATCACAATACATTGTTTCTACCTTGTTCTCTGGTTTCATCATTAAAGGTCAAAGTCACTTAAAATACAAAGAGGAATCTCGGGATACTAATTATATTTGATTTTTATTTTTTATTTTTGCTAAATTCACAGTTTTTCTTTGTTTAATGGTAAGCAATCTGAGCTTTGCCTTTGAAGCACGGGACTTCAGTTTGGTCTCCGTGCAGCATCGGATAGCTCGCTGTCACCCTGAGAACCTAGCTGTCTGTATGGATTACAGTCACCTGTTTAATGATTCATGCCACAGGAAGAGTCCACACAAACCCCTCTAGCACAGAATAATAATCTGTGTTGTGTTACCTACCATTGGAAATAAGGATCATTTACACTAATCTGTTCTGAGGGGGTAGACAGATGATAGCCTGGTTTCCACTACAGAGACAAGCAAAGCTGTAGCCAGGAGTTCCTCGGCTGGTCTGTCTCTCTGCTGACCACAACAAGAGAAAGCGTTGTTGTGGGGTCTCTCCAACATAGGGTTGAATCTGTTGGTGTTTGTATGCTCATTATGTGGGGTTTCTCAGCGTTTGGTAAGCTTTCCTGCTGTGGTTATGACAGGTGTTGCTTTACCAACAACCATCAACTCTCCATGTTGCAGACATTACAATTAAAGGACCAGTTACCTTTGCATAGAAGCTCAGTATGTTGTGTTAAACACTGATCCATGTAAATTAGACCCATTAAATTAAACTGTTTAGTGACATTCCTACAGGTGAAAGAAGTATTCTGATCTTCTGCTTGAGTTAAACCAGCAATATCACAATATACATGTTTTTTATTATAAGTTAATTTTGTGCATTCTCAATAAAAGGTCCAGTTTAGATTTTTTTGACCAAATACAGATATATGCAATATTCTGTTGATTCTAAAGCAAACTACTTTTAACTGTTTATTCATTCACAGACATTTTTTTTCATTCATTCAAGGTTCATTTATCTTTTAAGTAGAATCTGGATTTGTTGGGTCCTCAAGGCCAATAACTGAGGTGAAAATAAATAAATGAATAGAAAATATGACAAAATATATCCCTTCATTATTAAACTAAAATTATCTCTGGAATTTGGTTGTGAAAAGGATGAACTGAGGCAGGCAGCTGGAATAAAATGTATCAAATATTGCAATTTAAAGCTTAAACTTGTTGGGGTTCTAGTCTCGAACCTTTATTTTGGTGGTTGTACTTCCTGTGTGTTTTGCTTTGTTGTGCTTTGCATTTTCAGGCTGGGCGGGCCGTGGCCGAGGAGGACTCATTCGCTCTCCATCACACCTGTCCCTCATCGCAATCAGCGCTGCTTTTAAGCCGGCTTCTTCCCATGATGCAGCGCCAGAGGATTGACTCTCCTATGAGCGGTAGATCAGCCACGCTTCGTCTCGAGTTCTTGTGCTTGTTGTTTGTTTGTTTGTTTAAGCTGACCTTGTCATTTCGTCATTCCCTTCAGAGCCTCCTCAGTCTGACGTCCCCCCAGCCAAGCCGTCACGAGTCAACCACCAGCAGCAGCCCTTCGGTTCTTCACATAGACTGTACTATGCTACCGTGACGTCACCCGTTGGTTTCTGCACTGAGAAAATGAAGCCAGGGTTTTGCTACTTCCTGGTTGACATCTTGGATTTTTGGAGCCAGTGACGCAAAAATCGTCAGGGGGGGCGGAGCCATAGGAGCAGCGATTGGTCAGACGGATTGAGAGGCGGGCCCTCTCTGCCCGCCCACATTTACCGCCTTCTGCTCGCTTCATCTGTATGGTCGCTGCCGACTGTCAATCAAGCCAGCCACGCCCCTTGCCCCCCAAAATGTTGAGGATTTTTTAAAAACTCAGTATTGATTTATTTTCAGATTGGCCACCTGATCTCTGGATTTGACCATGAAAACTAATAAGAAAAAAATCCTGAGCTGTAGGAATGCGGCATTTCATGATCTGTGATCACTTCTTTTCTAATTCAAGTCTATGGGAGCCAGGGCTTTTTGGAGCCAGCAACTCGCGGACGTAGTGATACTGGGAGTTTTTGACACTTCCAGATTGGCTTAAATTTTCAGGGCCGGTTGCTACGTCCATCTTTTATACAGTCTATGGTTCTTCCCCACTGGATTCACGCGCCTCGAGCACCTCCTCCCCCTATGAAGACCAGCGCTAACCTGCACTCCCCCCTTCTGCTTCCTCAGTGTCCTCACTCCTGTTCCCAATAAAGTCCCCTTTATTATTGCAACTCGCCTCCTTTGTCGCATTTTGGGTCCACTTCCTGTAAATTAGGAGCTCACTCTTAACAAAAAGGACTCATTTTTGAACAATATATCCCACTGAAAACAAATTATTATAACTGTCAATAAAATGAACAAATACAACAAAAACACGTCAACTAAAGGCGAATAGCACGTCACATTACAGAACTAAAAACAGCAAACCACGCCATCTGAAGCTCACTACTGAAGGCTGTGTGATTGGTTCTACCTCCACTGTGTACACTGTTTAAAAAGGCGGCAACTTGAAAGACGCCACTGCGCGCGCTATTTCGCAGCTCGTGGCCTGGCTACTATTGTCATAAACATGTTGGTTTAGATTTAGAATGGAATGATGCGTCATCGCTCCTCCCCTGCGGCCGGCAGCATCACTTAACATGGCGAGGCTGAAGAAGGCCGCCCCACACGCCTCCACTGCCCTAACCTCAGCCGCTATAAATACGCCCCAGAAAAGCATGAAAAGCCAGCCCTCATGTGAAATTCCTCCCCTGGATAGAGCTCGCAAGCGTCTGCTGGAGAAGCGCTTCCTAGTCCGGCCTCAGAACGTGAAGGAAATGTTAGAGGGGGGCCTATATATACCCCTGCCTTGTGGCCCAGGAGAGTATGTTGTGAATTACTGCATAGTAGAAATGTCTGAGGGAGCAAGCAAGCTGTCCACTCCACTTAGAGCACAGTGACACTGAACTGAAGGCAGTAATGCTCTTAGAACTAAAAACTCAACAAGAAAAAGAGTTTTTAAATGAAATGCCTGCCTGGAACAGACAGCGTATCCTTTCCTTATGTGGTATTGTAGCCACTTCGTAGTCGAGCTGCTGTTTATGGATGAAAAGTGACTCAAGCAGGAGAAAAAAAAAAAAATCATAATTTCTGCAATTTATGTCATGTGGTTTGGCAGAGGTGTTGGCTTCTTGGATTTTTCTCATTCTGGCTCGCAGGAGGCATGCAGTGACTGTACTTTCTGACAGAAGACGCTGAATAAACGATAACCTTCAGCAAGCGTTCTCAGGTGATCAGATCAGTGAGTTTTCTCTGTCTCGACTTTAGACATCTACAGTTATGCAAGTAAACGCTGGAAGGCACACATGGTGGTGCCCGACATTTAAAGACCCCCTCTGGTGAAAATTAAGTTTTGCGCCTTGTTGACATGTGAATATTGTTTAATGTGCTAGAAGTAATTTCTTGAGCAAAATTCCACTTTAAAACTGCTGTATATTGATGAAAGCACAGATTTTGATTTATGGGATTTCACAGATAGTAAATCTAAAGAACCAAATCTGCTCCTGTCGACTGTTTTAGACGTACATCTAAGCCATTTTTAGGTAGGAATGGATGATTTTCATGTGTCTAAAAGTCTTACTTTGATAAACAAAGATGAGTTTTCAGGACTTTAATCAACGACCAGAGAGAACCTTTAACTACATCTCCAAAATCAGATCAGGTATAATTAGTGATGGGGGCAATAGCGTCCTCTCCTCTCCTCCAATGCTGCAAAGAAAACCTCCTTTTATGCTGCTTTTACATAATTTCTTCTGAAATTAGAGGTGCTGCATGTAGTACAGCAGTGCCGTTGCCAAGTGTGCTCTGTAAATAACTAAACTTCTAAATGTACCCTCAGTATTTCTCTGTAATGATCATTCTTACAGGATTGTATCTGTTTTATGAGACATAAAGGCAGAATGTAGGTATTTTGAGCAGTGTTTTCCTCACAGTACAACATATTACGTCACATTAGAGCGTCGTCTCTGTCAGTGAGCATCATGCAATAGTACAGTGAGTCCGAGTAGCTGTGATGTAGAAAGTTGGTCTGCATCTGTGATTAAATATTTTTTTTTTAAATTGGCCGTGTGCAGCGCTCATTTTAAACAGGAGGATTATGTTCCTGGAGATACAACAGAGTTCCAGACTAATAGCCCGCTGGCTTGAAAAAAGGCGACCACAAAACTGGCAACCCCCCCACAGCCACGGATGTGCTCCCGAGCA